TTACACTATTAGAATTATGCAGCCTCACAGTTTCACAATAATCATACACCTTTGCATATTGAACCCTTTGACCCCCTTCAATAAATTTGCTTGATCTTTTTAACCTATACAATTGAGACCTACTGACATCAACCATTAACTCCCTCCAAATTGTCCTCTGCATAAGCCCAACTTTGGTGTCAGGGTCATCTCTTAACTTGTCCATATACTTGTGTACCAAGTAAGTTGAGTTGACCAAGTGATTGTCATATGACTTTCAACATGCATGCTTTAGTTGGAATGATTTGATCTGAAAAGTCCTCTCACCTTGCATGGGAGAAGTGCAATCTCCATCCATATCCATGCTTGCACACCATAGTAATCCTGGAGTTGTCATTCCTTATGCACTTTATGTCATAACTATGTTGGATATTCCACTCTTTCATTACTTGTCTAAAAATTTGAGGGGTGGCAAACTTCATTCCAAGTTTGAGTTGGGACTTTTTCATATATATTTTCTCAATGAAATCAGGATATTTATCTTCACATTCCTCATCTGATGAGTTATGTACAGTGTGTAAATCTTCATCCTCAAGATCAGAATACCACCCTTCATCATCAGTCCTTGTATCATATGAAGAAGGTTGCCTCTTTCTTTTCTTTGTAGTCTCATTTGGTGCAAAAATATCATTATCTTCTCACCTCACTAAAACCGCATTCAACCAGCCAGGTTCATCATTTTCATAGTCTTCATCTTTTGAACCACTGTCATCATTCCTATCAACAATGTAATTAGGATCATCACTATTTTCTTCATCTCAATCTCCATTAACCCTTTCTTCATCTTTGACATCTTCACCCCCATCTGCACGGTCCATTTCTTCATCTCCCACTCCTTCACCCCTATCTTCATGATTCGTTTCCTCATCACCTACATCTTGCATTCCATCTTCATAAGCTTCTAAGCCTTGTCCTCTTTCGCCACAATCCATCTCTTGTTTACTTATATTTTTCATTCCATCATATACCCTCTCATCTGCTGCATCAATTCTATTTCATGCCAAGTCAGTGCCTGCTTAGAACTAATTGGTACTCTTGGGGTACCAAATGTTTCCCTTTTGGGCATATCACTTATAATGGTTCCTAACCCTTCTCCACAAAAAATTGAATCACATCTAAACCTTCACAATCATATATCATAGTAAGTACATATAGCGACCCCGGTCTTTTCCCATTTGATTATTGTATCCGGACTGTTCCGTAGATTCTGTCATTGTATAATTGTTGTTGTGGTTGTTCCTTATTTTCTCATTTGGAATTATAGGATGTGTTGGGCAGGTTTGTTCAGGTTGGTTGGGTTTAGAAACCAAGTGTTGCTGTCTAGAATTTTGGTTATTCGCTCGAGCGAGGAGTTTGTCGCTCGAGCGAGATGTTGTTTTGATTCTTCGCTCGAGCCGCGGTTTGGTAGCTCGAGCGAGAGTTTGCGTCTGGGTTGGACCTGTAGCTTTGCATTCTTGGCTCGAGCGAGCTTTTCTTCGCTCGAGCGAGTTAGTTTGTTCTTCGCTCGAGCAATAGTTCCTTCGCTCGAGCGTGAGTCTGGTTTCAGACCTGAGGGTTTGAGTTCTTCGCTCGATCGAGCTTTCTTTCGCTCGAGCGAGCTTTTGGGTTGTTGGCTCGAGCAAGGCTTCCTTGGCTCGAGCGTAGATTCTCTGTGTCTGGTCGCTCGAGCGACCAAGTCTCGCTCGAGCGAGCCTGTCCAGTTAATTTCACAGCAGCGGGATTTGATCAGTCTTTTTCATAATCTTTTGATTCCAAACCCTAGGTTCGACCTCCTCTCTCTTCTACTCACCTTCTCTCTTAGGTTTGATCTGTTTAGAGATGGTTTCAACCCTAGTTGCTTTATTAAAAAGATAGAGGGAGTCGAGAGCTTTCATTTAATCTGAACATTTGGCAATTTGGAGCATTTTGGTCTTTGGGCACTCATCTCTGTCTTCACCATTTGGGTTGTTTCCTCTGAGGTAGGGATTTCCTACTCCATTTTATAGGTTATGTTCTAAGTTTTGGTATTTTAATATGTTGGGAATACTTTGGTAAATTTGGGAAAAACCCTATTGAATTATTGAATTGATTTGTATAAGTAATTCATGGAATTGGGAAAAGATGGTTAAATTCATGGAATTGGGAATTCATTGATTAAATGGCATAATTGGATAATTTGAATCATTTGTCTTGAATTGTGGACATAGTTATTTTCAGTTTAGAAATAACTGTTTTGGGCTATCGGTGGAGGATAGTCGTGATTGTTGTAGACATTGCATGTGGATTAGGATTAACTGAAACTAATCACATTGGTTAAGTCATAAATTTTGACTATTGCATTGATAGAATACGTGTATTGTTTGGGCATTGCATTTGCATATATTGTTTTGTGTGGGAGGAGATAGGGGATGTACTCCACGGTTTAGGGGAAGATAGGGGATGGACCTCTAAACCGGATTTTTGTTTGGGAGGAGATAGGGGATGGACTCCATTAGCATCACTTTTATGTGTGCTTATTTATATAGAAGTGTTTTATTGATACAGCACTAAAATGTGTATCAATCTGGAAGTCTGAAGTGTTTTGATTTATTTGAGCTTGAGTCTCATTTGTTTGTTGATATTGGAAGGATGTGAATACGATATATGTAATTCACTGTTGTAAGTTTGGCCAGGTTCTGAGCCATGTTGATAAAATTGGGAAGTAAAACGTATCTTAGACAATAGTGTCATGTGACTGTAAAATGAAGTAATTGATTATCCTGGTTAACCATCTGTTGAATGCTATTGCTTTATTCGTTACTTATATGTGGTTTAGTATATTTCTACTGGGCTGTGGCTCACCCTTTATGGGAACATCATTTTCAGGTTCAGGGGATAAGCTACCTCCAAGGACTTGGATTCTGAAGACTATTTTTCTGTTGTTTGCTTTTATTTGTTAGTACAAGTAAACACTCAAGCCTAGGGCTTTTCTTATATTGAGTTAGAACTCGTATTTTTGTATCCAAGTGTTGGCTTGGAAAGATGTAAGCCTGTAGGGCATTTTATTCGACTATTTAGTAATACTCTGATGAATGAATTAATAAAATGTCTTCTTTAAATAATGCATGTCAATGATATATAATGGGTTAATTTTGAGGGCGTTACAGTACATCAACATCTTCTTCAATTATTCCCATCATCCAAAGTTTTTTCAGGTTTCTTATACCACAATACACAAGTACTATAGACATCTATTTTCATCTCCCTCAACATGGTATGAATCTCAAAAAAAGACAACTTGTCAGGATCAACATCATAAATATATTCCAGTTTCTCTTGTTTATAAGCAATATTAGAAGGCTTACTGAAGTACCCATTGTAATTGATCTCAAACTCTTTTTTTTTTACCTCATTGCACAAAACAACAAAAGTGAACAATACTACATTACAAAAATCAAAGTCCTTGGGACCACACTATGTAATTAATATTTGATTATTAATTAAATTCTTCAATATTTAATTAAAATTCCCTTGGGACCACAACAAAATATCCATTATTTATAAGGTTATATACCCCACCTTAACCAAAATTTCCAAAAATTAAACCAATACAGGCATGGCATGCATAAAAAATTACAAAATCTCTGAACACAAACAAAAGATATGAAAAAAAATATCGAAAATCAACATCATGAGACCAATACACAGTTCCATTATTTGTAAAAAAAATTACCAAATCTCTAAACTGAAATAAAAATATGAATAAAAAATCAACATCATAAAAGATATGAATAAAGCTCTAAACCCCACTCTATTTTAACTAAAATCCGAGAAAAATGGGTCTGGGGGTCCTGCTGTGCGTCAGCAGTAACTGTTATGAGATGAAACGACGTCGTTTCATCATCTATATGCATATTCAATAAAAAAAATATATAAAAAAAAGAGGTTGTTAAGAGGGCTTGAACCCAGACAACCTGGAGAGAAAAAGTGTCTTGAACCACTGTGATACTTAGTCTACTCATTATTATTTTCGACATATATTGTATTTCTTACAATCTGTAGGCCTTCCAGCATTAAAAATAAATAAATAGATAAATTAATTAAAATTTACAATCTGCTATAATTAAAATACAAAACACTGAAAACCCTACAAAACGTTGGGTCTGTTAGCAGGGTTTCGGTTCTCTATCATCTCTCCATCATTGCTCCATCGTTCCTCCACCGTCCCTCCACCGTTTGCTCTAACGTTCCTCCACCATTGCTGTGCCGTAGCTCCACCATCACCATTGTCATTGAGGTTGCTTATCACTCATGTTTGAAAATATATATATATATATATATATATATGTTCGATAAATTACAATAAATTCCTTTAAAATATATAATCTATTATATATATATATATATCGTGATTTATTTTCATATCAAGAAGAGATTGTGTTTTGGATTGGGAATTTTAATATAATATTATAGGATTCTGTTATGTGTATGTATGTGCAGATTGGATTTTGTTATCTGTTATAGGAATCTGATATTGTGTTTTGGATTAGGGATGGATGCTCTGTTAAATTAACTTCACAATTTGATATGTATAGAAATATGTTATTGTATATGGTGATTTAACTCTTAGCATTTTCATTATCTTTTCGCAAAGCTATATAATAAGGCAAGTACTCTTATCAATACATATTTTTTTGTAATGAAAGTTAAGAATGTTTGTTGTGTTATGATAATTTGTGGTAAAAGTCAAGAATGGAAAATTTATAGTAAAAGTTATATTTTGTGGTGAGAAAAATTATGTCCTTACATAATGTAAGTTATAAAATTTTATAATCTCTTTTAAAGGTGTACTCTTTTAGTAATATAATTGATTTGTCTCGTGTATAATAAACCACATCAAGAAAGTAGACAATTTTTTAGAGTATGTGGAAATTTATCTTATTGTTGATGTTATTTTTGTGCTATTCTTTTTGTTATTAGAATTTATATTCAGTAGTGCCGAAATGGAAGATGGTGCACTTGAGGAGTTGGCTAAGAATTCCATACCATGTGTTGGAATGGAATTTGAATCGGATGAAGCTGCACATGAATTCTACAATGAATATGGAAGGATTGTGGGATTTAGTATTAACAGAGATTACCATACAAAAAGTAAGAAAGATGGTATCATGATTAGTAGAAAGTTTGTTTGTTGTAAGGAGGGAGAAAAGAAAAAAGATAAACGGTACGTAATAGTAAAACATCCTTAACATGAGGCAAGCACGAAATGTAATGCATTCATGTATATATCCTTTAGACGGGACTTGTAAAATGGGTTCTGATGAAGTTTGATGATAATCACAACCACCTTTTGCATATTCCTCAATTTATGCATATGATGCCATCTCAGAGAAAGTTGTGTGATGCTCAGGGTATAAATGTTGATGTAGTTGATGATACTGGTATATCACTTAAGGCATTACATGATCTTATTAGTGCCTTAGTAGGGGGGAAGGAATTTGTAGGGTTCGTGCAAAAGGACAAAAAAACCTACTTGCGTGCAAAAAGGCAACGAAATTTGCCATATGATGAAGCAGGAAGTTTGTTGAGATATTTCCAGCAACAAGCCACTAAAAATCCATATTTTTACTTTGCATTTCAGTTGGATGTTGATGAAATGACTACTAACATTTTTTGGACTGATCATCAGATGATTACAGATTATGGCATTTTCGGTGATGTTGTGTCATTTGACACAATATTCCGAACAAACAAAGAGTACCGTTCACTTGCTTTATTTACTGGCTTTAACCACTTTAGAATGACTGTGATTTTTGGTGCTGCATTATTATATGATGAAACTACAGCATCATTTGAGTGGTTATTTGAAACTTTCTTGCATGCAATGTCAGGGAAAAAGCATGTTAGTTTTTTCACAGATCAAGATCAAGCAATGGCTAAGGAAATTTCTAAAATCATGCCTGAGGTATTTCATGGATTGTGCACTTTTCACCTAATGCAAAATGCTTTGAAGCATTTAGGCTACTTGTTCAAAGATGGTTTAAAATTTGGTTGCGATTTCAAAACGTGCATTTTTTGGGTATGAGGATGAACATGAGTTGGTTGAAGCTTGAGATTCTTTATTCATAAATATAACTTGCAAGAGAACTTATGGATAAAGAAAACTTGGAAACTTAGAGAGAAGTGGGCGCATGTGTAAGAGAAGTGGGCGCGCGTGTATATGAAGTTGGTATATACTGCAAGAATGTGAAGCACTCAACTTAGTGAAAGCTTGAATGCAGAATTGAAAAAGCATTTAAAAGTTGACCATAACATTGTTCAATTTTTTACACACTTCAATCGAGTTATTATGGATAAGCAATATGAAGAAGTAAAAGCTATATACGATTCTAGACAACAGTTGCCGAAAATAAAGTTGAAAATATCTCCCATGTTAATTCAAGTTGCAGAGTTGTATACCCCTCATATCTTTGACTTATTTCATAATGAGTTAGACATATCCCTTTGTTGTCAAGTGAAGCGACGCCATAAGTTAGGAAGAGAAGTAACATATGTGATTGGCTTATATAAAGAGGACAGAGAGTATACTGTGAAAGGTAATGTGGAAGTTAATGAGTCATGAGGATACAATAATTGTCGAGAAATTCATTGCACTTGTCAAAAATTTGAGAGTTTTGGAATTTTATGTGGTCATGAATTAAGGCGCTTCATAGAATGAATATTATGGAAATTCCTAAAAGGTATATATTAGGTCAATGGAAACTAGATGCGAAGGATTATGCAATTGAGGAAACAGTTACAGTGGTTGAGAATGACCCTAAGTTGGTAATAGCAGCATGCTACAGAGATCTTTGTCCTAGAATGGTAAAACTAACAGCTCGATCATCTGAATACAAACCTACCTATCAATTAGTTGATGAAACTCTTAGGGATTTGTGTGCAAAAGTAGACAATATAATGACTTCATTAGGTGGCTCAGGCGCTTCTAGTAGTAGAGGCAATATTGAAGTGGGTACCAAAGAATTTGTAGTTGATCCAAACTTTGCATGAGCTAAGGGCTTAAAAAAGAAAGAGGTCAGACACAAGGGTGGGAGTAGATTAAAACCTTGGCATGAGAAGACTAATAAGAAAACAAAAGTTGTTTCGCAACCTACTCGCCTTACTCAGCTATTGAATTTACCGAAGTACTTGATTTCAAATTGGCTAAATTTATTTTTAAATTTTGCAATGTACTGATAAATGTTTTACGACCTCTTTATATTGGACAGTCAAGCGACACTAAAAATATTCAAAATTCATCTTCAAACCACACACTGTGACACCCCCACTTTTGGGCATCATATATTAATATAAATAATTCAACATTGTTAAGTATTAAGTTCCGATATAACAATTAAAGAAGTACGTTCCAAAGCTTAATCTTAATACAACCCCAAATGTTTGATTTCTTACACCAATCTCCGGACACTGTTACATTAATACATAAAATTTCATCAAAATAGATAAGAAGGTGGGGAAGACAGGCCTTAATAGCCAGGCTAAGATGGTTCTAAGTGAACCATGGCTGAACTTCGGCATCTTCGACAAAATCTTCCCCGAGATTTTCTCTTTCTTTTTCACCTGGAATGAAACACCATGAGCTACGAAGCCCAATAGGATACAAGAAATCCAAAAAAAAAAAAAAACTAGCCACTTCTTATAGTTTGAAAACTTATGCAATAACAACACAGTGGAGTTAATTAACAACATTTAAAAATATACGATCATCACAAGAAAGATAATAGCGCAATGAAAACGACATATATATATATATGTATATAACCATGATCCCTCACGAATATATTCACAATGCAAATGTCAGGTTATCATTGAGTTCATAATGTAATCCCAATTGATTGTAAATTTGATAAGCCTATGGTGACTCCCTGTGGAGTGTCGTCCTACCCAACCATTGACCCTAGCCAGGGACTATTCTGCCCCTCCTCTTGATCTCGCGGCACTGGATCTAAGGATGTTACGTGCTGAGTTAGATACTCAGGGCGTATCATCAGTAGTCCGTCTCAAGAGAACCGGCCTTCCAGAGGTACTTTCTCTGTGTGAGACCCTCGCTACCACCTTTATCCCAAAACCAAATCCATGAGGTCAGAATACGATTCGGGCCATGTCAAGGCTTCGCAAGCTAAATAATCACATTTCCTTAGAACCAGGGCACACCTTGTACCAACAAAACATCGGCATACCTTTTCCTTGTATTCATCTGCATACGTATGGTCCAAAACCACCCATTTCATTTTCCCCATATTATGGTTGTAATAGCTCTTGATGAAAATACACATATCATGATTTGTTCCAATTGATCAAGCGTTTTTAAGTGCATGCAAGACAACATATGTAAAAAAACGAGGCAATACAAGAAGGTTTTAAGCCATCACTAAATTGATTCCAGATTCTGAACAGTTTCCAGCAAACTGTCCTTTCAAATAAAAATATAGAAATGATAGTAAATAATATTTAAAATTTTAATTTTTGGTGGAGTTATAGATTATCAAGTTGGGAACATTTTTGAAGCGGGCTCGAAGTCAATTGGCCACTAGAAGATGTCCAAATAAATTAAAAACATTAAGTAGCTCCAGATTCACTAACTTGATTCCAGATTATGAACAGTTTCCAGCAAACTGTCCTCTCAAATAAAAATATAGAAATGATAGTAATTAATATTTAAATTTTTTATTTTTGGTGGAGTTATAAATTATCAAGTTGGGAACATTTTTGAAGAGGGCTCGAAGTCATTTGGCTACTAGAAGATGTCCAAATAAATTAAAAACATTAGGTAACTCAAGATTCATCGCGTTTTTGAAAAATAGACATATCTCACCCCATACTAAATGAAATGAGTTGAAACCTGTGGAATTGGAAAGATAACTCAAAAACCTCACATTATCAATTTGAATCACTCAAATATTCATTCTGTGGAAGAAACCGTGGCCATGTAAACCATGCCTTGCTTCTGTCTTAACAGCAAGGGTGAACATAAAGCATATTTTCGGCTATAAAATAGTGTCAAATAATTCTCAAAAAATTTCCACATAAATAAGACCCTAAAATAATTCCAGTAGCTTCAAATTTTCGAAAGGATAAATAAGTGATTTATTGCATGGTTTTGAAGTGAAAACAGATTCTGCACAGTGCAGTTTCTGTTCTTGCTTCCGCCATGTATTAAAAGACATATCAGATTGTTTTGCATTCATTTTTCAAAACTTAAAGAAGTGGAGTATTTCTAAGTATCCTACCTTAGTAAAGCTTTGAAGTCCTTTCAAGAAATGAGTCCTTCTTCTCCTTCATTCCTCTCTTTCTCTCCTTTCTCTATTTTCTTTCTCTCCCTTTCTACTCTCTAGCTCCAAAAAATTTTTTTAAGTGGGGAGTTGGGGGAGCTTGTGTTACATTTATAGATTAAAATGAGAGGGAGAGCTTGGAGAAAATGCTTGGTAAAAGAGTCCTTGCATGCAGCCATTGGGGGGTTGTCTATCCAACAAACACACTTATGACAACCCATTTCTTCACTTAAAGGTAAGAAAAGGCTTATTAGGCATGCTAAGAGGGCTGCATTTGTTTGAGATGAATCTTCATATTAGACAAAATCAACCCTTCCCCATGAGGGTTGACTTGGCCAGCCTACTTCTCCCTATTTTCTTTTTCTTTTTCTTTTATATATATATATATATATACACACTCATGAATAAGACAACCAAGTGAGAACAAAATTCTAGATTGCCTTTAGAAGCTTCCTTAATCTAATTGTGAGGATTAGTGTTAATTAGGATTTAGTTTAATCAAGGCCTCTAACCAATAATTAATTTAAAGTGTGCCAAACTTTTATATCTTATGCATTAATTTAGAATAACTCTTCAAGAAAAAGATAATTTTTATTTAATAAATGTGTTACAAAATTCCCAAGCCTTACACCGGTGAGATCTTATTCTTTTTTATTGAAATCACATTACTCAAGTACATAATGATCATAAAAGTATTAACAATATTTTATGGACTAGGGTGTTGAGATACCCTTTTGGCCATAACTAATGAATTTCGGATATAATTCGCTCATGCACAATGTTAATTTTGCATGCCTGCCAACTTATACTATAGCGATCTCGGGTTTACCCTTGTTGTACAGTGATCCGGACATGTGTCCGTGGATGTTGGTTGTTGTTTATTATCGTGTTTGCATCCTTTGTACCTTGTATATCGAGTTATAGGATGTGTTGGGCGGATTTGTTTCAGGCTTATAATTTTTTTTTTTTTTTTGCAAGGATTAGGATTTGATCTAGCAGAGCACAATTCCATGGTGGCTGAGTTGGTCTTTCGTAATAATAGTTTGTTTGATTTTTTCAGTCATTCAAAACCACCTCGCAAAATTGAAATGTAAACATTTATCTAGCGGGCCACCCTTTTACTTTATTTTTTAGAATTAAATTGAAATGGATTCAAGGTTTATTTAAGGAGAAGCCACTGTTATTGTGTTTCATTTTATTTGTGTTTGATACATAATAGAGCATCAAATTGTGCAGATTGGATATGGATTCAAGGTTTATTTAAGGAGAAGCCACTGTTATTGTGTTTTATTTTATTTGTGTTTGATACATAACAGAGCATCAAATTGTGCAAATTGGAATTTTTTTTTGAAAATAGAAAGGATTTTTATTTTTTAATTTTATAAGTTTTATTGTGGCTGTAGATTGTAAATTTTTAATTTTTTTTTAATGCTGGAATACAACTTATAATAAATACAAGGAGTTTTCTTAAGTGTGCAAGTGCACACCATGTGCCACTTACACAAAAAGTGTAAGTGTAAGGTGTAAGTATAAGTATAAGGTGTAAGTGTAAGGTGTAAGTGTAAGGTGTAAGGTGTAAGTGGGTTGCACATGGTGTGCAACCTCAAAAAAGGTGTAAGTGTAAGGTTTAATTTTTTACAAAAGGTGTAAGTGTAAGGTATAAGGTGTAAGGTGTAAGTTGCACACCATAACCAAACCCTAAATACAATATATGTCCAAAATATAAATGAGTACACTAAGTAGCATAGTTGTTCATGGCACTTTTTCTTTCCAAGTTGTCTGGTTTCAAGCCCTCTTAACAACTATTTTTTATTTATTTTTATTGAATATGCATATAGATGATGAAACAACATCGTTTCATCTCACAGCAGTACCCCTAGACCCAAATAAAGCAATAAAAGGCATGAATACAGAAATTGAAGTATACAGAAACAAATATACGAATTAAAAATACCGAAAGCTAACATCATGAAAAAAACATCCATTATTTATAAAGCTTTATGCCCCACCTCGCCCCATTTTAATCAAAATCTCCAAAAATTAAAGCAATACAGGCATTCCATGCGTAAAAAATTATAAATTTTGTAAATCGAAGTGAACACAAACAAAGATATGAATAAAAATTACCCAAAATCAACATCAACGATCAAAATAAATTAGGGTAAATAAAACATACCTAAACTAGCGATGGTGTTCGCAATACGATGGATCGATGATGAAACCCTAGTTCAATCCAATTAACGACAATGAGAATATATATATATATATATAGAGAGAGAGAGAGAGAAGATAGATATACAAATACTGTATTAGTCAAATGAAACGACTAGGGGTGTAAAATATCTAGGAGCATTTATAACTTTTTACAACGTTTGTTATGTCCATCCAAAATTACATTCTGGTATGAATTTCAAGGGGTTAAAGTGTTACAAATGAAATTATAGGAGGACTCCATGTTTTTTAGGCAAACTACAAGGGATTAAAATGTAATTTATCCTAATAAAAGATTACATATAAAAGTGAATTTTACTATTTAGAAGTAATTATTTTATTCCATGCATCTCATCTATGGATAGTAAGATTAAAAATGTACTTATAATAGGCTATAATTGGTTGATATGATATAATAGTTTCACTAATTTTTTTCTCCTTTTTATGGAGAGGATATTTTTCTTTTTCTTTTTTTTTATCTTTTGAAATAATATTTCCCACCATTTA